CCCGAGCTGTATCTGCCTAATATTAACATTAAACATATTTCGAAACTAACATTAGATCTTGAAAAAGAGTTTTATTCACCCTAGGTTGCGTAAGGTGATGAAGGATTGATAGTTAACTTTTTCCAAAACGAAACGAACAGGCCTCATGTCTCCTTCGAAGTTCGCATGACCTTGCTTTCCAAAAGGTGTTCTTATCCAGACAGGAGTGGGCCGCCGTTTCGACATCGCCTGAGCTGGTCTCATCAGCACCTTCAACGGGACTCGAACCTTGGTTGTGATAATGTAGCCAATAGTCCGGAGACGGTGACCAGAGCAGAAGAGCTTTTCAAGGAAGCCTAGGTCTAATAGCATCTTCTACGAAGCAAAGGTGCATTTGCAATGGCAATAGAATAAATTATCTGTCGTTCGTTTACAAGTAGGTCTTCGGGACTATCAGTAGTGCTGTATTTCTGCCATTTAGTTTAAGGTGATATTGAACCGGTGATAGTTTCCTAAACTAACGTATTAAAGAAAAATAAGTAATGGAATTTCTTCGAAAATCCAACCACAGAAATGTGCTATGGGAAAGTCCTAGCCTTCCCTAAAATTAGCTTTTGCCGTCTGAATCAAGGTTTCTCGTGGCAGTCTGGCTTGGTGGTTAACGTGATAAAATGGTACGCTGAACTACCACTACCCAGGTTCGACTCCCTCTGGGCGCGCTGATGAGGCCAGCTCAGGCGAAGTCGAAACTGCAGTCTAATGGTGATATCAAAAACCTAATTAAAAGCTTCTTAAAACACTATTTTAATATCATTAATTTGTTTATATCCTGACAACTCCTGTCCTCCCTCTTCCCTCCTCTCGATTGACTGCCCTTTCAGGTGACCCACCTAATGTGAGCTCACAATTCCTTGCCAGACCCAGTGACCCATCTCCGCTGTCACTGCTGATGTCATGTATTGTTGTCATAGTTACAGAGGTTTTGAGTCATGCCTCTACAGCCTACTTGTCTCGAGGCTAGTCCTGATGTTGCTCAGTGGATAATTGCCAAGTGAGCATAAGAAGATTTCTGAGCTGAAGATCGGGTCGTCACCTGGCGATAGCCATCATGATGTAGGAAGCAGATTAGAGAATTGTGTATATCCAAGAGGCAATTTCTTCACCCACACCTGCTCTGTAAATATTCACATATTACCCTCTTCGAGGATGAAGTGGAAATACACCTTTAGTGTCTAAGGCATGTTTGTCTATTGACATGGAAAAGGGAAATCTGTGAGGACAACACCCGTCAGCACGACAAGACAGAAGACAGAGACAGAGAGTCGCACCGTGCCTTGAGAGAGAGAGGCTAGATGGGAAGAGCTGATTCTCGCCTCAGTGCTCAGCAGTCTTGCCCGCTCGAAAGGCTTGTCAGTCCTTCCTTCGGGATAGGCAACTCTTCGGATGGCCATCATTTCGCCGTTAGGGAAGCTATTATCTCGCGTTCGGAGTAGTCAAAGTGACGGAGTATA